GTTGGAGACCCTGCCTTTCCACCCATACTGTACCCCATCCTTGTGTCCTTGGTCCTAGTAAGACCTCCTGTGTTTGGTCTTAATAAGACCTCCTGTGTTCTGCAGAGCACAGCAGAGTGGGCCATTCTTTACCCTGACCTTAGGCCTCTCATCTTCCCAATAATCCCATGGACTGATTCCTGCATTTGTGATGGGGCTGTTTTATATTAAAGTTAACATGAACTTCACCAGCATTTCTTTACTTTCAGATGTGTTCCGTGGAATGGAGGGTAAGAAGTCACCTTCTGAGCAAAGTGTTTCTGTAGAAGGAGTGTCACAAGACAGGAATCCCAAGGCATCTCTATCTACTCAGAAGGACTACTCCTGTGACATGTGTGACCTACACTTGAAAGACATTTTATATCTGGCTGAACACCAGGCAACACATCCCAGTCAGAAACTGTACATGTATGAGGCAAATGGGAGAGAGTTTGAGTTCGGTGCAAACCTTCACCAGCAAAAGATGCAGCAGGATGTAGACAAGTCTATCAGAAGGGAGGAGGGTAGGGCCTCCCTTGTGAAGAGCTGCAGAGATGACACATCTGAGAAACCTTTCGCATTCAGCGAGGGTGGGAAGGACTTTGTGGCCACATCTGGCTTTCTGCAGCATCAGGTCATTCACAATGCAGAGGAGCCACAGCAGGGCACCGAACGTGTGGAGGATTTTCACACTGTGGAAAGCCATAACAAATGCAGTGAATTTGAGAACACTTTCAGTAACAAACCCACACTTGCTCAACACCAGAGAACCCACACTGCAGAGAGGCCTTATGAGTGCAGCAAATGTGGTATATTCTTTAGCCACACTGCTGGCCTCTTACAACACCAGAGAGATCATAATAGAGGAAAGCCTTATGAGTGCTGTGAATGTGGGAAATTCTTTAGCCAACACTCCAGTCTCATTAAACATCAGAGAGTCCACACTGGTGAAAGCCCTCATGTGTGCAGCGAATGTGGGAAATTCTTTAGCCGAAGCTCCAATCTCATTCAACATAAGAGGGTTCACACTGGAGAAAAGCCTTATGAGTGCAATGAATGTGGGAAATTCTTTAGCCAGCGCTCCAACCTCATTCATCATAAGAGAGTTCATACTGGTAAAAGTGCTCATGAGTGCAGTGAATGTGGGAAATCCTTCAACTGCAACTCAAGCCTAATTAAACATTGGAGAGTTCACACTGGAGAAAGACCTTATAAATGCAATGAATGTGGGAAATTCTTTAGCCACATTGCCAGTCTCATACAACATCAGGTAGTTCACACTGGTGAACGGCCTTATGGGTGCAGTGAATGTGAGAAAGCCTTCAGTCGAAGCTCTGATCTCATGAAACATCAGAGAGTCCACACTGGTGAACGGCCTTATCAGTGCCCTGAATGTGGGAAATCATTTAGCCAAAGCTCCAGCCTCAATAGCCATCGGAGACTTCACACTGGTGAACGGCCTTACCGGTGCCCTGAATGTGGGAAATTCTTTAACCAAAGCTCCAGCCTCAATAATCATCGGAGACTTCACACCGGTGAGCGGCCTTATGAATGCCTGGAATGTGGGAAAACCTTCAGACAAAGGTCTAATCTGAGACAGCACCAGAAGGTTCACAAACCAGACAGACCATATAAGTGCAGTGAATGTGGAAAAGCCTTTAGCCAAAGGCCTACCCTCATTCGGCATCAGAAAATTCACACTAGAGAAAGGAGTACAGAGAATGTACTACCTCCTTCAATTCAAGAACACACACTAGAGAGAAGCTCTGAGAGTAGTTTTTATAAGGGAGCCATCAGCCAGAAGTTAAACCTTGTTCATCCAAATATTCACACTGGGGAGATTCCCTATGAATGCTAGATATGTTGGAAGCTTTCTGGAGCTAAATTGCATTTTCAGACCATGGACTTTACCAGAGTTTTGTCACTGCTGGTGTTTGTGGCAGAAGCCATCTCAGCTCTACCCACTGGCAGGTCTCTAGAGTGTATGTCAGCTGCTTCCTTGCGCTCAGGGAATGCAGACCTCTGTCCTCTCTACAAGGGAATGCAAGTAGCCTGTGGCCATTAGAGTGCCTCATTCCATTCCATCGTGACTGGTTTAGCTGGGCTCATGACCCATCTTTGGCCATGAAGACTTGAACTGAGTTCTGCTGGCAGCTTGATGAGGTTTCCCTTTTTCGAGAACATTGTTGATCTCATATGATGCTCATGGTGAATTTATCCAGCCACTGTATTACCCATTCCAACAACTACCTATTTTAAATTGCTCTGGTTTCAGTGATAATAAGGGTCTCATTGATAAAGCCACCTTTAATCTTCTGTGTTCTGATCACTATGTGTAATGGATTGAGACCAGAATTAGGGCTACCAAATGAACAGGGTTTCCAAATTTATTGCCTCAGAAGGAACAGCAGGATGGCAGAGAAGAGCTCTCAGTCCAGATTTGGCTTCAATTGTATTACTATGCAAGTCCTCCTAGGTAAAATTGTAGGGTTTTTGGCCTAATGTGGTCTGAATGGCATAAATGTTTGTGGATTAGAAATTACTCTGAGGTGGAGGCATTTCTGACAAACTCTAGTGCATCTGAGAGCAGTACAAATTTGCCCCCTTGTTTTCAGGGGATGCCTCATATTCCCTAGCTCTGTTGAACAGACACTGTTTACCTGACACCTGCCATGGAGCCATATACCTTGAAGTCTAACATCTGGTTTACAGGTTTCTCTAACTGTAAGACTTACTGGGCCCAGTTGGGACCATAATTTGTACAGAAACACTGGGCAGGGGTGATAACAGGGAGTAAATGAGACTGCAGCAAACTAGAGAGAATGTACCTGTTCTAAAACTGAATCCTCAAATGTTCTCTTGAATCTGACTGTGCAGAATTCAAACTTTGCAGAAATATCCAAGACCTCCAGACCTCTGTCTTATTGGCAGAGTAAATGATCTAAAGGTTTTTTTAATTATTGCAGGCTCACTGCACTATTCATCTCAAGGTCATTGCTGCAATGGCAGGAAAATGGTGATTGAGAAGAGGTAGATCCTGTACTCTAGGGATAAAGTATTTGTGACAGCCACTTTTGCTGCCAAGGCAAGGAGAGATAGTAGAGTCAATATAAGGTTGCCACATCTTCCAGTTTTCCATAATGAATGGAAATCAGGTTTTTATGTGCAACTATTTCTTTTAATGCTTTGTTGAGATGAAATTGTCAGCAAATAATTGACTGTACACATTTGATGTGTACTCTTTGATAAGTTTTTAAATATGTGTATACTCAGGGAACCAACACTGTTGTCATGATGAACCTATCCACCACTCAAAGCTACCTCATTCTCTATTATTCCTCTTTGCCATCCCCAGGAAACCATTAGCCACATCCCAAGGAATGTATTGGTTTACCTTTTTTTCAATATAGTCTTTTCTACAATTTTATGCAATCAGAATCAGAAAGTATTTATATTCTATTTTTTGTCTATTTTTTGTCATACAGCATAATTATCTTGAGACTCTTGCATGCCGTGTGTATAAATAGTTTATACATGCATGCTGAGTAGTGCTCTATTGAATGAATCCACCATATTTGTTTATGTTTTATTTTTTAAATTAAAAGTCTAATAAAATACACATAAAATTTACCATCTTAACTATCTTTAAGTGCACAGCTTAGCAGTATTAAGTACATTCATATTGTGTGACCATCACCACCATTCATCTCCAGACCTCTTTATCTTGTAAAACTGAAACTCCACACCCATTAAATAATAACTCCAGATTCCCCCCTCCAACCGCACTCTTTTGCATGTGGATATCATCTTACAATGGATTGATCTTAGCACCCTTGTCAAAAATCATTCCATATAGTGAGGGTTTATTTCTAGGCTCTATTCTATCCCATTGGTCTATACGTCTGTCTTTATGTGAGTACCTCACTGTTTTCATTAATACAGCTTTGTAGTAAATTCTGAAATTGGGAAATGTGAGTCTTTTGACATTGATCTTCTCTTTCAAGATTGTTTTTAGCTATTCATGGTCCCTTGAGGTTCCACATGAATTTTAGGATAGCTTTTTTCTGTTTCTGCAAAAAAGTTATTGGGATTTTGATAGGGATTGCATGAAATCTGTAGATTTCTTTGGTAGTATCGATATCGTAACTACTCCATCCAATTCATGAACATGGGATGTATTTCCATTTATGTCTTCATTTCAGAAATGTTTTGTAGTTTTGTAGTACAAGTGTTCACCTTCTTGGTTAAGTTAATGCCTAAGTATTTTTCTTATTGATGCTATTGTAAAAGGAATCATTTTCATTTTCCCACTCAAATTCTATGTTTAGAAATGTTTAGAAATGCGACTGACTTTTCTATGTTGGTTTTATATCTTTGCTGGATTCATTTATTGGTTTTAACAGTAATTTTGTAGAGCCTTGAGAGTTTTCTACATATAAGATTATATTATCTGTGAACAAAGATAATTCTACTTTTTCCTTTACATTTTGAATGTTTTTTATTTCTCTTTCTTGCCTAATTCATCTGGGTAGTACTTCCAGTACTATATTGAACAGAAGTGGTGAGAGAGTCTTTAACCACTGAGTATGGTGTTAGCTGTGGGTTTTTCTTATGTGGCTTTTATTATGTTGAGGCAGTTTCTTTCTGTTCCTAGTTTGTTGTGAAAAGGTATTGAATTTTGCCAAATGCTTTTTTCTACATCAATTGAGATGATCATATCTTTTTTCTCTTTATTCTCATTTATTCTGTTAATGGGGTATATTACATTGGTTGATTTTCATATAATGAACTATCCTTGCACTCTAGTATAAATCCCACTTAAACATGTGTTTAATCCTTTCAGTATGCTGTTGAATTTTCCTATTATCTTATTAAGGATATTTGCATCAGCGTTCATAAAGGATATTGGTCTGTACTTTGCTCATAACTTTTTCTGGTTTTGGTATCAGGGCAAATAAATTAGGAAGTGTTCCCTCTTCGAGTTTTTGGAAAATTTTGACAAAGATTAATGTTCTTTAAATGTTTGGTAAAATTCACCAATAAAAATGTCAGGTTCAGAGATTTGTTTGTTTTTTGAAGGTTTTTGATTAATCATTATCCTTCCTTGTTATAGATGTATTTAGATATTCTCTTTATGATTTGGTTTTCATAGATTTGTGTGTCTAGAAAATGTCTATTTCATCTAGAGTTTCCAAGTTTTTTATATACACTTGTTCACAGTACTCTTTTCTCTTTTTATTTCTGTAGGCTTGGTAGTAATGTCCCCACTTTTATTTCATATTTTAGTAATTTGAGTCTTCTCTCTTTTTTCTTAATCATTCTAGCTAAAGATTTGTCAATTTTTGCTAATCTTTTTGAAGAACAATCTTCTGGTTTTATTGATTTTTCTCTGTTGCTTTTTATTCTTTATTTCTCTCTGATCTCTTATTTCTTTACTTCTAACTTGTGATTTAGTTCTTTTCTAGTTCCTTAAGTTGTAAAGTAAGGTAATTGATTTGAAATTTTTTTTAATGTAAGCTTTAAAGGTGTAAGCTTCCTTATTACTGCTTTTGCTGCATCTCATAGATTTTGGTATATTGCATTTTTGTTTTATTTCTAAGTATTTTCTAATATTCCTTGTGATTTCTTCTTTGTCCCATTGATTGTTTAAGAGTGTGTGTTTAATTTCCACAAATTTGTAAATTTTTCAGTTTGCCTTTTTTTATCAACTTCTAACTTCCCTTTGAGGTTGAAGATATTTTGTTATAATCTCTATCGTTTTAAATTGATTAACCCTTAATTTGTGGCTTAACATGTTCTCTCATGGAGATGTCCCATGCGTACATGAGAAGAATGTGTTTTCTGCTGCTGTTGGGTAGAGTCTTATGTATGTTTCTCTTAGATCTAATTGGTTTCTTGTTCAGACCTTCTACATAGTGATTGCTTTTCTTTTTTTGTTTTCAGTCTGTTTGTTTTATTCATTATTGAAAATGGGTTATTGAAGTCTACAACTAATGTAGAATTGTCTGTTTCTTCAATTCTGTCAGTTTTTGCTATATAGTTTTTCTTTGTTGTTAGGTACATAAATGTTTATAATTGTTATATCTTCTTGCTGTATAAAACCTTTTATTACTATATTAAGATGGCCTTCTTTGTCTCTTATAACCTTAGAAAAATTTATGTATTTTATCTGGTATTAGTATAGCCGCTCTTACTCTCTGTGGTCATTATTTGCATAGGATGTGTTTTTCCATCATTTCAGTTTCAACCTACTCATGTCTTTGGATCTAAAGTTAGTCTCTATAGACAACATATAGGTAGATATTTCTTTTCTTTTCTTTTTTTTCTTTTTTTTCTTTTTTTTTTTTTATTCTGGCAATCTCTGTCCTTTGATTGGAGAGTTTAATCCATTTACATTTAAAGTAATTCTTGATAAGAAGGGATTTACTTCTGTCATTTTATTTATTTTCTATATGCCTTATAGCTTTTTTGGCCCTCATTTTCTTTATTACTGTCTCTTTTGCTTTTTATTTTTTAACATGAAACATTTTAATTGTCTTCTCACATCCTTTTGTTTATAGTCTATAGCTGTTTTGTGATTACCATAGGGATTATATTAAAAGTTCTAAAATTATAACACTCTAATTTGAATTTAGATCAGCCTAACTTCAATAACATACAAAAACTCTGCTCCTATACAATTCTGACCCCAACTCTCAGTTATTGGTGTCACAGAATTATATCTTTATACATTGTATGTCCAAAAACAGACCAATACTTGGTTTTTAAAATGCACTCGTTTCTTAAATCATGTAGAAATTTTAAAAATGGAGATACCAACCAGTTACAATAAAATAGTTTTTACCAAAGATATTTTTTCCTTCATGTAGTCTGTATTCTTTCAAGTTAGTCATTGTACTTTCATTTCAACCTGATGGACTCCCTTTAACATTTCTTGCTGGGCAAGTCTAGTGATAACAAACTCCCTTCGCTTAATTTTTCCAGGAATTTTTAATTTCTCACTTTTGAAAGACAGTTTTGCCAGATATAGGAATCTTGGTAAAAATGTTTGTTTGTTTGTTTTCTGCACTTTGAACATACCAGCTTACTGCCTTCTGCCTTCCAAGATTTCTGATGAAAAATCTGTGGATAATCTTATTGAGTATTCTTTGCATGTGACAAGTCGTTTCTCTCTTGCTCCTTTCAAGATTCTCTCTTTGTGACTTTTGACACTTTGATTGCAATGTGTCTTGTTTCAGGTCACTTTGAGTTCACCCTTCTTGGAGTTCATTGAGCTTCTTGGATGTTTATACTCATGACTTTTGTCAAATTTGGGGAATTATCAGCCATTGATTGTGTGTGTGTGTGTGTGTGTGTGTGTGTGTGTGTGTGTGTGTGTGTTCGTGCTTGCTTCTACTTTATTTTTAATTAGCCCACACATGAAATTTGAGTCATTCCCCCATACTTTTCATACTTCTCTACATAAAATAAGGAATAGACTTTCAGAATAAATTTTTGTGTTATTTTTTTCAGAATTGTATGATAAATGCATAGTGTGAAAAATACAAATCCAAGGACTTGTGAGTTCCTTTGCTTGGCATGCTGCTCTTGCTGTTTTAACAGAACTTTGGTTTTGAAAGACAAACTTAAAATCTCTATCAAATATTTCTTTTTTCTTTTTCTATCCTGTAGGAACAAAAGGAACCCGTATATGATTTTTTATTTATTTTTAGAGGAATGGTGTTTTTTATTTTATGTTGGGGTGACCTGATTTTTTTTTTAATTCTTATTCCCCCACCTCTCTCTCCTTTGACAACCAGCAGCTTGCTACTTATATCTATGGGTCAGTTTGTTTGGTTTTGTTTATTCGTTTGTTTTGTTTTTAGATTCCACATGTAAGTGAAATTCCATGATATTTGTCTTTCTCTGTCTCTGACTTTTTTCACTTAGTATAATACCCTCTAAGTTTATCCTGTTGTTGCAGATGGCAAGATTTCATTCTTTTTTATTGCTAAATAGTATTCCATTGTATGTATATATATATGTATGTATATGTATATGTGTGTGTGTGTGTATGTATCACATAATTATCCATTCACCTATTAATGGATATCTAGATTGCTTCTATATATTGGCTATTAGTAGTAATGCTGCAAAGAACATGGGGTAAATATATCTTTTTGAATTAATGTTTTTGTTTTCTTTGGTTAAATACCCAGAAGTAGAATTGCTGGATCACATGGAAACTCTATTTTTAATTTTTAGAGGAATCTCCATACCATTTTCTATAGTGGCTACACTAATGTATAGTCTCACGAACAGTGTATGAGGGTCCCCTTTTCTCCACATCCTCATCAGCACTTGTTATTTGTTGATTTATTGATGATAGCCATTCTGGCAGTTATGAGGTGATATCTCATTGTGGGGTTTTTGTTGTTGTTTTGGGGGGAGGGTTTTAGGCAAGGGAACCCTTGCTTGACCTCACAGATTGCAAGGACCTCGCAGTTTACAATCCCTTATTTTTTAATTTTTTATTTATTTTATTTTATTTTATGCCTACAGCACCCGGTCTTCCTAGGTGGTCTCCCATGCAAGTACTAACCAGGCCTGACCCTGCTTACCTTTCGAGATCAGGTGGGATTGGGCTTGTTCAGGGTAGCATGACCGTAGATGTCTCATTGTGGTTTTAATTTGCATTCTCCTGATTATTAATGATGTTGAGTATCTTTTTATGTATCTGCTGGCATCTGTATGTTTTCTTTGGAGAAATATTTATTCAGGTCCTCTGCCTACTTTTTACTGGGTTGTTTTTCATTTGTTTGTTTGTTTGTTGTTGTTTGGGGGAGTCTTATATGACTTCCTTATATATTTTGGATATTAACCCCTTATCTGATGTGTCATTTGCAAATATCTTCTCCCATTCAGTAGGTTGTCTTTTTGTTTTATTCAAAGTTTCCTTTTCTGCACAAAAAATTTTTATTTTGTTATGTCCCATTTATTTATTCATTTGTTTCCTTTACCCAAGGACACATATCTAAACGATTGCTAAAGTCAGTGTCAAAGAGTTTACTGCTTATATTTTCTTCTAGGAGTTTTATGGTTTCAGGTCTTTCATTTAAGTCTTTGATCCGTTTTGAGTTTATGTTTGTATATAGTCTAAGAAAGTGCTTCAATATAATTTTTTTATACATATTTGTTCAGTTTTTCTGACAACGCTTGTTAAAGATACTGTCTTTACCTTATGGTATATCCTTGCCTCTTTTGTCATAGATTAGTTAACTATATAAACAAGGATTTATTTCTGGGATCTCTATTATATTCCATTGGTCTATATATCTACATTTAGGCCAATACCATGCAATTTTGATTACTGTAGCTTTGTAGTAGAGTTTGACATCAGAGAGTATGATATCTCACTGTTTTTCTTAAGATTTCTTTGGTTATTCAAGAGTCTTTTATGGTTCCATATAAATTTTAGGATTCTAATTGTAAGGACGCCATTGGTATTTTAATCGGAATTTCACTGAATCTGTAAGCTGCTTTAGATAGTACAGGCATTAT